GACACGGTTAAACACCTTCTCCAAATCCACAAAACACATGTAGACTGGTTGGGCAAATTATCATGCACCCTCCAGGATCCCCTTAAGTGTATAGAGCTGGTCCAGTGTTCCACGGCCAGGATGAAAACCACATTGCTCCTCCTGAATCTGAGGTTCAACAATCCGATGGATCCTCCTCTCCAAAACCCCTGAATAGACCTTACCAGGAAGGCTCAGGAGTGTGATCCCCTGTAGTTGGAACACAGCCTGCGGCCCTCCTTTTTAAATAAGGGGATCACCACCCCGGTATGCCAGTCCAGTGGGACTGCCCACGATGTCCACGCCATATGGCAGAGCCGCGTCAGCCAACACAGCCCCACAACATCCAAAGCCTTAAGGAACTCCAGGCAAATCTCATTCTTCCCTGGAGCCTTGCCACAGAGGAGCTTTTTAACCACCTCAGTGACCTCAGCACCAGAGATTTGAGAGGCCAACCCAAAGTCCCCAAACTCTGCTTCCTCACTAGAAGACGTGTCTATGGGATTGTGACAGCAGACACAGCAGCATTTTTATGTGGCCCACGAGATGAATACCAAAAATATATTAAAACTGGCCTGCTGGCCGATTTTACCGCAAAGACTTCAACTCCCATGATGCTTTGCGGCGTCAGCGCGGAGCCGACGAAGCCCCCTCCTTTGTGTTTTTTCAGCGCCTGCTGCCGGTCTCTGCAGCTCCGCTGTCTCGGACAAACTAAACTCCTCTCACTCAGCGCTGAATTCACTCAGCTATTTTCTGACATTGAAGCCCAGAAATGGAGATTCTAGCCGCTCAGTAATGTGTTCACGACTGAAAGAGAAAGTTTTCCAACTAACGTCCAGACAGAGCCGATATAACTCCAGCGAGCAGCGACACGCTCAAACCAGCACGGCTCTGTGGTTGCTGTTGTTGTGTTTCCTCCCCGACACACAACAACGTGGTCAAGCTGCTCAGACATGTTCATCAGCACAAACCTATGTGAGCACCTGTTGTCATCTAATGTTGTCATTATTATGATGAAGATGAACAAAACAACAGGAGTCTCCTCCTCAGCTCAGATCAGCCCCATGATGCAGGTATCTGGCTGGAACAGGTGAGCATCACAGTAAACCAGTGGAGCAAACTGATCTTTAAATATGTTGGTTTTATGCTCTTTTTCTGCTCCAAAACATGAAAGTTAACAGGTGAGATGTTGCATTTTCATTTAAGATAAAATGATATTTGGAAAGGCTGCAGATAGATGAATAGAATAGAAAATCCCTTTATTGTTCCTCAGTGGGGAAAGCTAGACGTCACAGCAGCAATGACGCGTATTACAGGAGAAAAAAAGGAGAATAAAAAATAAGAAAAATGAATAAACAAGAAAACATAAATCCTGAATAGATTTTAAAAATGCTGATTATACCACAAGTAATGAATACCACTGATGCCTTTTATTTAAAACGGACTTGCTCGAGTGTCATTCGGTTATTCCACATTCAGTGTTAATGCAGAAATAAGTTTGTTTCCAAATTTAAAGGTTCAAAATTGCATATATGTTGATAAAGAAAATGTGCAAATTTGCCGTCACTTTTTCAAAAATATTAAGTTTGGCCCTCGACTCCGTCCCACAGTTTCATTTCGGCCCCTTGTGAGTTTGAGTTTGACACCCCTGGCCTAAGGTATCCTGGTGCCAAGAGCACATATGGACACCTTTATGTCTGAACATGGTGCTCATTAAGGACAATCCATGACTGGCACAGAAGTCCAATAACAAAACGCCACTCGAATTCAGATCAGGGGGGCCGTTCCTCCCAACCACAACTCTCCAGGTCTCACTGTCGTTGCCCATGTGAGCGTTAAAGTCTCCCAGCAGAACGAGGGAGTCACCGGAAGGAGCGCTTTGCAGCACCCCCTCCAAGGTCTCCAAAAAGGGTGGGTAGTCTGAACTGTAGTTTGGTGCATAAGCACAGACCACAGTCAGAACCTGTTCCCCCACACATAGGTGGAGGGAGGCTACCCTCTCATTCATTGAGGTAAACCCCAGCGTACAGGCACCAAGACTGGGGGCAACTAGTATGCCCAGCCCTGCTCGGCACCTCTCAGTGGGAGCAACTCCAGAGTGGTAGAAAGTCCAACTCCTCTCAAGGAAACTGGTGCCAGAGCCAGAGCCATGTGTTGAGGTGTCCGACTATATCTAGTCGGAACCTCTCAACCTCACACACCAACTCAGGCTCCTTCCCAACCAGAGAGGTGACATTCCATGTGCCAAGAGCCAGCTTCTGTAGCCGAGGATCAGACCGCCGAGGTCCCCGCCCTCGACTACCACCCATCACACACTGCACCCGACCCCTTTGGCTCCTCCTACAAGTGGTGAGCCCATGGGCTGGGGGACCCACATTTCCTCTTCAGGCTGTGCCCGGCCGGGCTCCATGGGTGAAAGCCCAGCCACCAGGCGCTCACCAACGTGCCCCACCTCCAGGCCTGGCTCCAGAGGGGGGCCCCGGTGACCCACGTCTGGGCGAGGGAACACGGTTTCCATTTATACAATTCATCATAAGAGGTCTTCGGAAAACATCTTTCTTAATTTGTATTCACTGAAGTTTGTTTTGTAATTGAGGGCATCTCTGGCAGGCAGCAGTAATTATAGTTTCTATGCAACACGGGTCTGCCATGAAAAATCTGGCACATATCAGCAGGGAACAACGAACGCAAGGTTGTCACCCAAGGGACAGTTCCATTACGTGACAAAAGTGTGTAGGTAATTTGATTTACTGTTTAGTTTCACAACCCCTGTCAGTCCCGCAGCCATACACAGCAGTTGGAGTGCATGAAGATTGACTACAAATGAGAGAACTGACCTGCCAGGGTCGCACATTTCTAAAAACAATTTGTGCTATCGTTTAGTTGGAGATATAGTTGGTAAAACATGTTCCATGGGTGATTTTTGACTAATAGATCAGGTGCATGAAGATAATAGCCGCTGGGTTTAACGTCTTCTTTAGTCCCGAACGGCACCTTGAACACTAGTTTGGAAAGTTTTTTGGCTTATTTGGAAAATAAAGTCATATAACGTAATGTTGAATTAGACAGAGGGTCTCATAATAGTTTCCTGTTATAGGGGATGGTAATCTTGGAAACATCTACTCTGTGTGAACAAGACCATTGTCAAGCTCTTTATAAAATATGTGGATTAACGAGATTTTGTACTCTTTTGTTCAGCATGCAGTCATCATCAGCTGATACAATCAAAAGCTTGAGCTGTTTATGAGAAACCTCAATATCAGACAATACCCTCTAATACTCTAATCTTTTTACCAGATTAACAATGATGAAACCCAATAATGAATGTTTAAAAATAACTACATAAGAAAAAAATTCAACCAAAATTAAAATGGTGAAAAAATGGTAAATTCGGTATATCTGCCCTCTCAGAAAGATAACATTTTAAGGCAGAGTGACATCACATTTAATTAAAAAATAAATGTCCAATAGCAAAGGGAATCCCAAAGTGTTGTTTAATGCCATCAGCAGCGTTGTCTCTCCTGCTTCACCTACAGCCTCAATTCAAACTGATCAAAACTTCCTGTCTTTCTTTGTGGATAAAGTCAATATAAGGTTAGATCTAGCATCTCTCTTTCAGCCTTATCTCTGCCTGTTCCTACTCCAACCTGACTCATCCTCCTAGAAGGTTTTGCTTCCAGTTTGACTAACTCTAACCAAACTAGTTAAATCTATGAGGACATCTGCATGCCCTCCTGACATCTTACCCTATTCTTTGTTTTGAAAATGCTTTTAAGCAAATAATGTATTTCTGGCTCACTAAAATTTTCTGATTTCTCTGTACTGAGACTTTTCTGAGTTGTTGTAGCACATAAGCACGCTAAAACACACATTTTCTGTTGTTTCACCTAGCTTTCAGAAAACCCTTTGAGTGATAATGGTGGTGGTGGTGGGGGGGTGGGGGCGTGTGTGTCTCTGCTCTGACTTCTCCATCCCCAGTGAGTCGTGGTCGGATGGCTGCTTATGCTGAACCAAGATCCTCTGGAGGTTTCTTCATGTTAACCCTCTCAGGCTCAAAATAAGTTTTGTTAAAAGGACGAACAACTAAGTCCTTCAGGGTTACTTCTGAGTTAAAAAATGCTCATGAAATACATATGTGGATTAACCAGGTAGGTAGGTTTTAACATTGCAAATCTGCAACGCCTGCCTCCAGAGGGTTAAAAGGGAGTTTTCATCTCCCCTGTCGCTGCATGCTTGCTTGGTATGAGGATTGCTGTAAAGACACTGACACTAGTCAGTGACTCCATTCAGTTTGCTAGGTTCCTTATGTCCTGATTGGCTTACTGAACTGAACTGAATTAGAATGTTTACTTTGTGAAGTGCCTCGAGACGACTCCTGTTGTGATTTGGCGCTATATAAATAAAACTGAATTGAGTGTTCAGTCCATTTGTCCTATTGTGCTCTCTATAGTTATTGCTTCCCTGGTCTCTGGTCAAGAATGCTATACTTCATTCGCTGTACTTAATATGTTTCTTAAAAAAATAATGATAATAATCTTGATCCATCTATATAGCAGCTTCAGACCCATCTCTAAATTACCATTCATCTCCAAGATCTTTGAAAAAGTCGTACCCAAACAACTCACAGCTGCTCTTGATGAACATAATGTCTACAATAGTTTCCAGTCAAATTTCCGTGGATTTAATTCTTCTGAAACAACACTTCTTAGGGTTTCTAATGAGCCTCTGACTCACAATGATGCAGGGGAATGTTGTATTTCGGCTGGACCGGACTGGGTCCTCCATCTCCCTCGCCCATGGTGTCCCACAAGGTTCTGTATTGGGGCCTCTACTGTTCCTCCCTTTCTCTCATGTAATTTTACTTAGATCAACTACAAATAGTTTCTTGATGTTTAAATTATCTCCCACTAACAGTAAAAAAAAACAACAACAAAATTAAAATGAAATAAAATCATTGAAGTTAAGGAATCACACACATTCAGCAGTATTTATAAAAATATATTTCACAAAGTAGGAAACAATACAGGGTATCTTAGATTACAGTACAGGGAGTAAATAATTGAACATACACATTTATAAGCATTAAAGCACAGTAGAAAATATGATCTGCATGTAGGACTATTCCATATATATTGTTTAGTCTACTGAGAACTGCCAGAATACTGTATCAGAACCAACTGAGTTTGCACGCAGCTGAAGTGCCTTTGAAATTCTTATTATGTGCAAGAGTTAACGTGCAGAGACAAAACCTACCGACTCATTAAAAGCTAATGCTGTTAGCAGTAACGCTATGTACAATAGAAGTCCTTTTTTTTCTTGGTATCTTACAGTGTAAGCACAATATGCACATGGTTTCAATCTGTGTTACCAGATTGTTAGGCTAATGTGTTTTCTAAATTGATGTTTCAAGGAAGTCGAATACCTGGATATCAATTGTGTTCAAAAGCTCATTTGTTTTAACTTCTTATGTTGTAAAAGTGAGATTTTATTCATTATCATCATCTGTCAGAAATGTCTCAGTTCAAATGGATTGGTTGGTCTTTATTGTTTAATTAACATGTTTCTCTGCTTACGTCTAGTCTACATCACTGATTGCATGAAATCATGAAACTGTTTGGCTGTCATGATACTTTGTTCTGTTGGTGGAAAAAGCTGAATGTGAAATAATCTAAACACACTCATTTCAAATAGCACAGAAAAAAAGATTTAAGAACAGATATACAAAAAAAACAATAAAACATTAATGAAGAATTAGCACATCTCTTGTCAAAAAAACAGTAGATTACAATTGTATTTAATGTTGCTTCTGTAAAAAGAAGGCCTCGGAGTTTCTACATTTCTCTTTTTTTGTCTTTACTTCAGTCTTTTATAGGCTAGTAACACTTGGAACCAACACCTGTAGCATGTAAATACAAAGAGTTGTATAAAGCAAGCCTTCCTGGGCTTTAGATAGTTTATAAATGTTGCCATCGAGGAACATATCAAATTATCACAAGTTCACCATAAAGCCAATACTGGTTTGTCTTTTGCTATTATTTCCTTTCAAACCATACATTCATCATTGTAATGTAGACCATGTATTGCTTTTTCATTTCGTCCCCCTTTACCTTTCAGCTGGGTGGTTTTAGGAGACAACAATATGAGTCTCTCTGCAGCTTCCGTAGACCAGCTTGGCATCCATGAATCATGGAGAATGTTGTCCATTCAAGCTTCAGAGAACCCAACAATATCCAATCATTGGGCAACTACCAGGAACATCAGGGTTTTTCTGCTACTGGCAGTCACAGCAAATGACAAACACCCAAAGTACTGCTAGACACTCCACAGCGAAATCTAAGTTACACTCCACAAGAATTATAGATCTTCTAAGAAAGACGTTGTTTGGCTCAACAAGTACAATGCGCTTGACATAGTGTATGACAACTGCTAAGTCTCACTCTAAAAAGTATACAAAAAGGTGGCCCTCCTGGTTTTTAATAGTTTTTTAAACACTTGTTTCTACAAGCCAGCAAATCCTAGTGTTTAATACACAAATATGTGGACAGAAAAAAAATCTCCAAGGTCTTTTGTTTTTAACAAATTAAAGGTCAGGTCTCACGGTCACTTTCACCCACAGAGTAGAGCTCCCCAAGTCTTCTGAAGCGTGGGCCCCACTCTCTGAGATAGTCATAGTTCTGGTCTGAGTCTGATGACGCCGTTTCCAATGAGCTGAGCGATCCAGCCATTGATCCTCGGCCCTCATACCCATAGATCTGGATGGAGTCGTATGGTGGTGCTGTTGGATCATTGTCTGCCTCGTGGAGCCGTACATTGATGAACTCATCCACATCCACACCATTTGGGCCCGAGTGCTGGCCTGCCCGTGGCATAAACTGCAAGTCTGGCTTGATGTCCTTGCGTGGCAAGTAACCATTGATACCATCTGGGTTCTGAAGTGTTGCTATGTCAAACGCCTCGGTGTCCTCCTCACCACCTCCTTCATCATCGTAGCGGATGATGTTCTCCCTCACATCCTCATCATCCTTAATAATCAGTGGCTCATTCTTGTGTCTCCTCAGGGTCACAAATAGTACCACTATTACTGTCAGAAAAAAAGGTGGAAAGAAAGAGAGAGAGAGAAAAAAAGAAATCTTGGTCAAGATTTGACAGGTGGATTTTCAACAAGATCATTCATAAAGGTCCAAGCATTCATCCATCAAACCACAACATGATGATAATGTTATTCAAAAAGAAGAAATAATTCACCTAATAGAAGTATGATGCAGGCTAGGATGGCAATGAGAGCTCCCATACTGAGACCAATGGGTAAGACAGAGGCCTCCGCGTTGCAGGATCCAACTATTCCTTCTTTGCTGCATCCACAGACGCGGATGGTCAAGGTGTTGGTGCTGCTCATTGGTGGATTTCCATTGTCCGTCACGATGATTGGCAAGTAGTACAACTTCTGTTTCTGTCGTCGGAAGGTATCGTGCTTGGCAAGAATGCTGATTGTATTGTCTGTCAGAGAGAGGTAAAAATCACAGATTGTTTTTTTGCAGGTACGTGTAGATAAGCCCGTTATTATTTATGGAGGAAACAAACCAAAATTCTAACTGCGTGACGATCACTGCAGCATAAGGCAAACTAATTTCATATCAATCATCAGCTTCTGTAATATGTAAGAATACCAAAGGATGGCAATCCCAAATTTGCGATTTCTCTGTAGAAATTGGTAAAACGAAGAGACTGTGGCGACATTGGCTGAGAAGATGGCACATGTCGACCCAGAAAGGTGCCAGCTGCTCTTTGATGGCACTTCTGTCAAGCTGTCTGCTCATTAGCTGGCTCTCCTTACCCAGATCACATTATCAAACACTTGCATTCCCATAAGAATCTACTCCTGATCTTGTTGGAAACGTAAAAGACGTCTGATAAGCTAACCTTTGCCTCGTTGCCTGAAGGTACGGTGCACTGGAGTCAGAGCTACTTTTAAGAGAGAAGAGAGCCAAGTAGAAACTTCTGCATTTGTAGAGCAAACTTAATCAAAAGACGGAACGCTTTTTTGTTAGAATCACTTACGTTGCACAAATCTGTAACTGATGTGAACATATGCTCAGATTTATTTTTCTTACAAGTGCTGCCACTAAGTGGTACACTCTGCTTTGTGAGCACCAGCATGTCCTACTTCATTTGATTCATTCAGTAGCACATACTGGGAAGGGAAGTGTCAACTCTGGTGAACCTGATACTGTAGATACAAATAAAACCAAGCATTTTCTGTTTGTCAGTCCAACAATGAGATTTAATCTTCTCAAAGAACAGGTCAGCTTCGTAGACAAAACAACCACAACAGATGCACGAACAGTGTTTTTCAAATCTATTGGAAAAAACAATGACACGTTTACAACCACCTTCATCTGTTTATACTTTTTTGACGACAGATCTGGTTGTGAAAATATAAAACCTTAATCTGCATCTTAACAACTAGGAACAATTCCAATTTCTAGATCCTAATAGAGCATGAAAAAATAAACAATTAGCAAAATGTTATTTCTAAAATCTTAAAAACATGTGGGTGTTTCAATAAATGTTTGACATTTTAAATACAACAACTACTACTACTACTACTAAAAACAATAATAATTATAGTTGTTGTTGTGATTTTTGTTAATTACTATTATTGTTGTTATTAGTAGTAGTATTATTGTTATTATTGTTGATAATAATTAATCGATTTATTTGTTTGTTTATTTTTAGCTAATTAAAGTCGCTAGTCAGATATAAAACAAAGTATTTGCGTTGAAGGGGACATCAAAAGCAGATTCCGACAGACTCGGGGAAACAACTAATCTGTTTTAGCTCCTGAACTGGTGCCACCTTTCGGGGCAGCACATTGTAAAACTGTCCAATCACAGACCAGAGGAAGGGTGAAGCACCCCCCACCTCCTCTCTAGGGTCCACTTTCTCCAGACTCATGAAAACAAACTGATGACATGAAGACATGAAATGTCATTTCTTTCTGAGCAAAGACATTGTAAATTTTTTTCTGATGTTTTTTCTTTGAAAGATGCTTTAATTTATGTTTTCTTATTCTTAAGGAAACTATATTTAAAGCAAGCAGAGATTTGGAGAATTAAATTTTCAATGCCTCTTTTATTTATTTGACTTCAGCAGAAGATTACTTCAGTCTTTGCTCGGTCCGACTGCGAAGGAAGTTTGAAATAAACCTTTTTATTCATTTAAAACTGTTATAAAATGATTGATGACATTTTCAGCTTTTCAAAAATAAGTCCTTAATTCAAAAAGGACTTCCTGGTATCCTAAAATCCCAATTAAAAGTAGGGAGTTCTAAAGATTTACAAAACCTAGGGATTAATTGATGCCATGAAATCAGCTGATATGATTTGGAATCTATATTTGCCTTTTGGTTAGGTTGCTGCACTTGTTTGTGATCATTGGAACAACGCTAACAATGCTGAACATTGCATATGCATAGCTGGTCACAGCCTCGACCGTCTCCCTCAGGACTGGTGACCTTTAACCTCTTCATTGTGCAATCCCTACAATCAGACTCATCATCCCAAACAAAAGCCACGTAAAGGGTCTCACAGAGACCCGATGCTCTCCACTGGAGTGTTTCCCACAGCTGCTGATTCAGACAGAAATAGTCACTGAAGTGCTGAACAACGCGCTGCAATGGGCCTCTTTTCTGTGTTTGGCATTATTATAGACAAGTGGCAGGTGTAATGTGGTATAGAGCTGGACCACAACACATTAATACTTATTGTGGCTTTAGGCTAATCTGAAAAAATGACTGTTTTCTGTCATTTTGACTAAAACAGAGCTCTTCTTTCCCTGGGGGGAATATATAGCAGTGCTTGCTTCAGAAATGATTATATTTCATAAAAGCCTGGCCTATAAACCTGAATCTAATGGGTGTTAAGGCTGATCCACCATTAGAAAGACCAAGACTTTTGAACAAAATCTAGGTTTTCAGTTTTCTTAAAGTATTTTTGCACATCTGACAAGAAAAACAGATTTCCTTTTGTAGTCATCTAAATTTTGACTGATAGGTATGTGATAAGGTTACACTTTGCTTTACTATGTTTGTGTTTCCTATGATTACATGCCATGATCCTGTCTGCTAATGCACCTATTTTAAGTAAAAAATGTTATATCTATCTATATATATATCTATATATATATATATATATATATATATATATATATATATATATATATACATATATATATATATATATATATATAGATAGATAGATAGATAGATAGATAGTCTCTGAAGACAGCAATTCCATTTTATGACCTGATTTTTATGTACTTTCCCCCATCAGAGGGAGGATGCAGTATGTTAGCCTGCAGCCTCAGCGTTGAAACAGAAGGCTAGTACCATATGAAGAGTTTTTTCCCCCAAGCTAAAACATTACACAACGTCATTTGGAACACAGCCTGTTCTGATCCAGTAGTGAAAAGGGAGACAAAAAAAAAGAGCAATGGAATAAAGACAAGAGAAAATGGCACATAAACCAATCAGAGTATTTAGCAAATAAATGTAGCACCATCTGCTGTGGAACGGCTCCGAGGAAGTCACCCTACATTGAGCTGCAGGACTTGCACAGAAAGCCATTTGGATCCCAGTCATTTAGTTTGCCTCAAAATCCACTGGGGAGTAAAAAGAAGCTGGTGTCCAAACAATTTCACATCTGCTAATTGTGAGCTACACTGATCCGGCAGATTTCATTTCCAGTTTGGTTAATATGGCGTGGGTTTAAAGACGAGACTGGAGAGGCGTTAAAGGAATTCACAGAAGCTTCACTCAGACCGCCAAAGTAAAAGCCTCATACGTGGAGATTTGTGTTGTTTCTCACCTTGGTTGTTTTTGATGGTGAAGTTGGGATTGTTGAGCATCTCCGGGACCAGACGATAGTCGAAGTAGTGGCCCTGTATTGGATCATCTTTGTCTACGGCGCTGACAATCTGAACCACCTGCGTTGAAAACAGAAAGACAGGTGGATATACAGAGGAGGGCTGAAAGCCATCAGAGCAGGCAGCCTATTCATTACCACGCTATTGCCGTTGCAGATTGCTTCAGCGTAACAGAAGCTGGATCCCACCTGATGAAATATATACCCCTCTCAGCCCCTGAAGTTGTGGTCCTGTCTCGTCTGACGCACTTTCAGACTCATAGATCTATCCGTTAATCTGCCACTGGAGGTATTATCATGCTGCATATCTTTATGATTGATTGGAAGTTAGAATTCAGGCCCTGCAGGGCAGTTTCCTCTTTGCCTTTTTCATCCTCCTTCTCGTGAAGCTCCCTATTGCACATACGCAGGTTCCCTATGAGGTCAATTGATGAGAAGGAGAATACTAAGTACTTGTCCAGGATTTTTGGCTTGGGAAAGCATTGTGCCATCTGGAGGAAGACATGAAAGACAAGTCTTTAATTATGATCCCCTCTGATCAATCCTGACTGCTCTCGCTTCCTCTGCGCTCTGTGCAAACTGCATCGAGGCAGGGTAAAAAAAAATAAAAAACCTCTCTGCTCCCACCGCTGTGGTTTCCAAGTGAAATAAATAGGCTATAATTCATTGTAGCAAATCATTACAGGGGAGGAGAGTGACAAAAAGGAAAAGGACAGAAAGTAAGAAAGTGATAGATCACTTCTTTGATGAATGAGTCGATTCTCTCTCCTTACCTGTCCAGGTTTCCCATTTTCACACAAAACGGCATCGTATTCGTCGGCAAATTCAGGGGCATTGTCGTTAATGTCCATTACTCTGATGGCCACGTTTGCCCTTGATATCTGACTGTGGTTTCCTAAAATATATTTAAAAAAAAGATGGATGGATGGATGGGTAGATAGATAGATAGATAGATAGATAGATGATAGATAGATAGATAGATAGATAGATAGATGTGATGAGAAAGAGAGAAAAGAGAGTAGATGTGAATAAACAGGAATAAACAAGTGAAATCCCAGGTAAATTCTGTGACCCAGTTTTAATTTCCTTCATTCTCATCTTTATTCCTTCCTTCATTTCCTCGGCTGATGGGAGGACAGATGATAAGCCACATTAATCTCTATTTCAGCGGGTATCAACAATGCAAACAGTGATCTAGGCAACACAAAATGGAAAAAAAAAAAGATTTCAATTCAGAACAGCTTTTGAAAATTCCCAGTATAGTGTGATGTTTAAAACATGAGGGCTAAAACACGCATATTAATAAGTCACTGGTAACTCCAGTCTAGGAAGACAACTAAAGGCAGTTTAATTAGAGGAGATTTTTGAGTGGAAATATTCATCAGTGGTAAGTGGCGGTCCCTTTCCAGCCCTGCCAATCGGTGTATTTACTAATCTGTGGAGCAATCGCTAACTTTTCAACCAGTTAATTAATTATTCATTTAACCCCAAGAGAGTGTTTTCACAGTAGCCAGTCACACAGGCGTTTTGTTTTTTACAATTTCTCACTTTTTTTTACTAATGAATTAAAAGGACATGTTGAACATGAGCTTGACATGAACCCACTCTTCCAGTGAATGTGATCCAAAGTAGTCCAGGACCTCAGGTCCCTTCAGATACATCAAGATGTTTACTCAGTCCAACTGTGTGACATGCAGACAGAAAGAATATCCACAAATCATCCCTGGGTTCAAAAGCTGTGTTCATTTAGCCTGTGTCTAAAATTAGTTTTAACTTTAACTTTTCACAGAGAGCATTCTGGACTCCAATGCCAACAATGAAGATTTACACCCAGAAACTGGAAAGTGACCTTTTTGTTCTTGATTTGATTCTAAATACAGACAGAAATTATCACCAGGATGATGTGAGAAATCTCCTTGAAAATATGCATGTTTAACCTTTGATTTTTTCACAAACAAATGGAAAAGATGGCAGAAGCTGTCATGGTCTGCGTCTGCCCCCCTTCTTTATGTGTCTCCTGATGTGTCTCCATCCTCTCTAGTTTCCCTTCTGTGTCTCATAGCGCCCTCATGTGTCCTTTGTCTGCGTCTCTATATTGTGTCTTCTGTTTGTAGGCCTTTTTATCATTCCCTCAGGTCCGGGGTTCATTTAGTTATCCTCTGTCCCTCCAGTTGCAGCTCCAGCCTCTTGTTCCCCAGCCCAGTATCTGTATGTGTGTGTGTGTTATTTATGTCTGTGTGTGTGTGTGTGTGTGTGTGTGTGTGTGTGTGTGTGTGTGTGTGTGTTAGTCCTTCCCACAGCCTTTTAGTTTGGATTTGTAGTTTTAGGTTTATCTGTCCTCCCTTGGTTATGTTTTCCCCATTTAGGTAATTATTGCCACCTGCCTTCCCTCCAGCCCTCACTCCACACACCTGCTTCCTGTTCCCTTAATTACTCCTCCCTGTTATTTAAGCCCTGTCTTGTCTTTGTTCTTGTGTCGGTCCATTGTTTGTAGTTCTGTCAGCCTTGTTTCTCTGTGTATAAACCAGAGTTTTTGGATTTCCAGATCTTTATCTGGTTTTTTGGATTTTGGCTCACAGCCTTGGATTTACTTTGTTTTTGGTTCTCCTTTTAAATAAAGGATTTTACTTAACCTTCATCCCTGCCTCGTGTCATCCTGGGTACTGCATATTTGGGTCCTCCAACACCATATCATGACAGAAGCAATGTTCTGCTGAGTACCATGATGGAAGTTTTACTCCCATTTCAAACATCAGCCCCTTGAAAGGTGTGGTTCACTTGTTTAATCAATTTATTTGCAGTGGTCTCCAGTAGGAACTAAGGCCTTTTAAGCTGTGCTCTGGGGGGAAAAAAGCTCTGGTGCGCCTGTTTGAGAAACTAGAAGTGAGCCAGATCAGAGTTTTATTTCATAAGATTTGGAAATCTCGCCTCTAACTGGCTAACAGCAACATCTCTCTCCCGCTGACTTTTTTGCGTTGCAATATTTGTTTTATCGTTAAAACTAACACAACCCTGGAGGAGTTCTGCTGTGGTGTGGAGTTGCTAATGCTAATGGTTTGCTTCTACTAATTGGATGCTAAACCAACAACAGCCTTCCCTGTGTTGAGTCAAGGTGGGTGAGTCCATGAATGTTAAATGACATCTGCCAGGCTTTTCAAATTCTAGAGTTTCACCATCTATTTTCTATCAGAAGCTAATGCAGCAGAAAGGTGTAGGAGACTATCATGTTCAGCTCGCATGAAAAACTCAGAGTGACCAATTATAATCAGAAATAAGATTTAAAAATGATTTTTCAATGAACCACACCTTTTAAGACGCACTATTTAGTCTAGATTGGTAAAATAAAATAACATTCAGTTGTAATGTAACAAAATGCATGGCTAGGATTGGAAATACACATTTATTATATGATTAATTAAGATGCTGCCTTATGTCTATTGTACATGTTTGCAACTTTCGGATTTTCAGCTTGTTTTAAAAAGATTTTAAAAAGCTAATAATGGATGTTTGAGTCATTGGGGCATGTTGTTATTTTAGCATAGAGTCCAAGAGTCATGGGCTTCTGGAACATCAGCATGTCATTCAAACGCATGTGAAAATGTAAAACAGTTAAATTTGGATTTGCATCTGGCTGTTTTGTAAACAGTTTTCACATTTAGCTGGTGTGTGTGCGTGCGTGCGTGCGTGCGTGTGTGCGTGTGTGTGTGTGTGTGTGTGTGTGTGTGTGTGTGTGAGACAGAACTGCAAACACATTGTGAAAATCACAAACGTATCTCAGGCCATGTACACATGTATCTGGGTTTCGTAAAACCAAATTCCCTCCCCCTCCCATCTAGGAAAAAAAAAACGTGGGTACGGATCACCTCGTTTTTCTGCAAAAACACATTCATGTCAATCCTGTAGGTGGCAGTAGTTCCACAAATCATCTGCGTCTTTGCCAAAAAGCATTCCTTGGATGAGAAATAAGTAAGTGGTGGGCAACAACCTTCCTTACATCTGTGGTCTTCTGCATGGAGCAGTAACTGAGCTTGTAAAAACAAGCAAATGAGTGAAAACCCAGGTGACTCGAGATGTCAGAGCAGTGACGTAAATCTGAAACCCCGGTCATCCAGAGAATTGTTTTTGGCGCATATAGCTTCATGCTTGTTTGGATGGCAGGCCAAATCCTGCTTCATTCTGGCCTTAAACAAAACAAAAAGGTGCAGGGAGGTCTCTCATAAATCATATCCATCAATGCATTTTGCAGATGAGGACATAAATAATCATTTACATGACATATCTTTGTAATGCTGTGCTCACTAGACTTGCACCTTCATCTAGGAGTCACACTACAATGTGTGCTTAACATGTAGCTGCAAGAACAGAACCCTTCTGTTTGGTCACTCGTTCTAAAGACAAACAGGAAGAAGTCACATATCGATTTTGAATTTTAAGGCCTCCAGCCAACCTGAAAGGGGTTGAAAAAGAGGTAAACAGTGAGTTGAGGAAAAATTGACAGTCAGACAGTGATAGATGGATTAGAGCAGGGGTCCCCAATCCTGGTCCTGGAGGGCCGATATCCAGCAGGTTTTATGGTTTTTCTGCTCCAACAGTCTTGATTCAGTGGTTGAAACACCTGTCCAGCAGCTCATCAGGCTCTGCAGAAGCCTGTTAATTAGCTGCTGATTGAAATCAGGTGAGTTGAAACTAGGGTTGTCACGGTAACCAGTGTAGCGGTAAACCCCGGCAAAAAAGGTAGACAATAATAATAGCCATCTTGTTTTACAAAAAAATATATTATCTCGGTGGATTACCGTGGCTGTGGTGTAGGCGCGGTGACCCTTACCAGCCACCATATCATCTGCTGAAGTTGCCGGTGGCACATGCGCACTTTGTTGTTTACAACCAAAACTTTCTTGAAGCTAAAGCTGAAATAATGGCCAAAGGAGGAGACGGCAACGCTCAGGAGGACATTTATTATCCCTCAAAGAAGACAAAGTGGGAAGTACAGGCAATTTTTTGGATATTTGAAGAAAGCTGAGGGACAGTTTATAGAAGACCGCAATCCTGTTTGCAGCACGTGCAGAAAAAGTGTCTGTGAAAGGCAGCAACGCTTCAAATCTCATGACACCTCTGCGTGACCATCGCCCACAATTCTACAGTCAACGCAAGGCAAGCTAACGTTAGCATTTTAGCTAAAATGCGTGATCCGAGGATTTGGGTTGAGGGAGAATGCAACGAGTCGCTACATAAAGCAGCCGCAGCGCTGCTACCTGCAAATAAACCGTGTCGCGGACACCCCCATGTTGAAATGACGCTATGCATTATGGGGCTCCCAGGGGCAGATAAGAGTTGGTCTCTCTCCGAGAATAATTATGAATTTAACAATGATTACTGCCTGATGACATTTTCCCAAATCTGCAAAGCTCACTGGAACACAAACCGAGGACAATATTTTCCTGATATACGGTTTATTACTCAAGGGTAAAAAGGTATCTGATTAGAAGGCTGCTTGAGTACTGAGTATCATCTGATCTAATATTTTTGAAATGGTGACATCAAACAGACATAAAATAAGAAGTTATGGGCGAATATTGGTATTTTAAAGACTAAAGGGGAAAAATGTAAACAAATAAACAACATAATTACAAAATAACACATTTTAGGCAAAATTTAGACACAAACTGAGGGCAATATTTTCCTGATATAGAGGGTTTATTTAGTTGTCTGAAAATGTAACACGTTTAAAAAAATACCGCGATAATACAGAAAACCGTGGTAATTTTGGTCACAATAACCGTGAGGTTACATTTTCACACCGTGACATCCCTAGTTTAAACAGAGTTCAAACTAAAACTTGCAGGATACCGGCCCTCCAGGACCAGGATTGGGAACCCCTGGATTAGAGCGTAGGGAGGAGGAGACACTAGCCCTCCCCTTACACAAGAGATTTCTTTCCCCCTGCAGCAGACAGGGAAAAGAATCTGATTAGTCAGACGTCAACTGGTGCGAGGCAGCAGAACGAGTCTCCATTTGGGTTGCAAATGGCACTGGGACAGAACTGGAAACACATCTATTCCTTCTTTTTGCGCTAGAGAACACACAACCTTCTGCTCTCTCACCACGAATAGTAGCAAAACTGCTGGATTTATTTGGCAAATTTCTATTAGGTGCTGTTAGAGATGCCACTATCTCAAGCCACAGCTACTTTGCCAAGAGGCATGAAAACATGCCTTCATTGTTGGGGTGTACGACATGACAAGGCAACCAGCTTATCAAATGAAACACATTCACTTCCTCCGATAGGATGCATTGGCGGTGGGATTTGTTTTTTACTCCGTGGCCAAAGCATTGTGACAGCGTTTGGGCTCTGATTTATTCCAACACTTAACGAGTGTTTCCTTTGATTAAAGAAAGAAAAAGACAGGCTGAGAATGAGACGGAGAGAGGATGAAGGACAGATACAGCAAGAGCAGACAGAAAAGTTACAAGCGGTGTAAATTTCTATTCCAGTAGCTTAAAGGGGTACATTAAGCTTTATCACATCACACAGCCCCCCTGAAACAATCTATGCAAATAAAGCCTTACATATGGTTGGAGCTGTTTGTAGCTCTGCCGGCAAGATTTTCTACGTAGTCAGTGAGTTTTGTGGTTCGCAGATGTTCTTTAATCTATAATGGATGCTGGCGTTGGAGCAATTCACTCTGGAGCGTGTCTTTAAAACTGTTTATTTGATATGTCTTAATGTTATTGCACTTGCACAAATTGAGCACTGAGCCATTTAATTCAATCAAAACTCAGCAAATTAACGTTTTTAATGCCTCTGTGGACTCACATGCTAATTGTTTGTGCTATGCTCTCAGAGCGTTTAACTACACTGCCTTTAAACTGTTGAACAGAGAATTTTGAGTAGCAGGTCAGTAATTCCTTTGACTGAGACGAGTCGTTCACAGTAAAAAAGAAGCCGTGCGTGTCCCACTGCTGTTGCTCTTTCTTTAAACCTTGCCTGACAATTAGTGCCTAACAGTTTGTAGGATAATTCATGAGTGTGCACGGCAAGCGAAGTTTACTTACTGACTTCTGTAGCAGTTACTGTTATGTTGTGCCAGGTGTCTGTCTCCCGGTCCAGCGCTTTGGCTAGGGTGATCTTCCCATCATCCACGTTGATGTTGAACTGCCTCTCCAGGTCCGTGTGCCGGTCGATGAAGTATCTACAAAGACAAACATTAGAAATTTAAGCCAGATCGCTTTAGCAGCAGCAGATCTGCTGAAGCCTCGTGAAATCCTCCGGGTGCTGTGGCTAACGGAGCCTTATTCATCAAGAGAAACCTGTGGATCAATGCCCTTTAAAATGGTAACAAATCAATAATTATCATCCAAGGAATAATTACTACCTTCACAAGAGCAGCACAGCAGCCTAATAGTCTCCAAAGCCCTCCCTCCAAATCACCTACATCCAACGTGCGCACACACACACACACACACGCACGCACGCACGCACACACACACACACACACACACACACGCACGCACACACACACACACACACGCACACACACACACAGTGAAATACCATTAGCACATGTTACTGTATGTCAGGGTAAGAGATGTGGTGTTGTTAACCCTGTTTGGCATTTCTCAACACTGAATGGGTCCCGAAGGGTTTACATTAATGAGTTAGGACGGCAAAGTGTCACACTCCACACAACATGGTGGGAGGAGGGAGAATAATGGATGTAATGGAGATTAACCAAAGGCATGTGTGTTAAGCGTGTCCTTGTCTTGTTTTTAACAGAATTATGTTGTTTTGAGACCTTGTCTACATGCATACACAATTGTACCAAAGCTATATTTTTAGTTGTCGTTCCTAAAACTACTCTCACAAAGACGGGATGTTTTATATCGTGGGTGGCGGTGGCACATGAGTTAACCCTTTAAGACCTGCCATAGACCAAGTTCGTCAGAACTTATATTTACATTTTTACATGCCATTTTACATGCCAGTGCCATTCTTTGGAGTATTTCAACTTGCTATACATCAATACAACCCTTACATTGTAAATTTTAATAATATTTCTTTAAAGTGTTCATAGCAACAACATACTTTACTAAAATGTGCAATTATCCATAAAGAAACAGAAAATCGTTTTCTGTCTTTACACGTTTTTCATTATACAGAAAGGCCACGCCTTTATCCCTCCAAACTGTCAATAAAAAAAAGTTGCACACAATCCTTTCAAACAACAACAAATTTATTTAAAGTTCCTCCATAATTTACTTTTCGTGATTCACTCATTTATATAAACTGAAACAAAAACGAAAACATAAATAATAATAATCAACAGGAATCTAATACAATAATGTTGAATATTTGTAGCTACTGTTTCAGTACTATATAGTTTTGCTTTTCTCTCACTAATAATAATAACAATAATAAAGAATGTTGCATGACTATTTACGCGAAGAAACAGAAACTGAAACTTAGAACATCATCCGGCGCTGTAATGGCGTCAACCGATTGAAGGAGGGAGGATGTACCGTTTGGCGGGTCCGTGATTCATCAAAACATTCATAGTGGTGTGTGTGTGTGTGTGTGTCGAGAGATTGTAGTGGGTGTGTGATGTGTGTAGGATGTGTTTGTCTAAATGTATTATTGCAAAAAAGCACAAGAAAAAGCCAAAAGACTGGGACTACAAAGAACTACAATTCGCGGGAAAATGACGTCAAAGCAGGTGATTAGGTGAGTGATCCTCGTGTGAGAGTTCACGTTTGCAACACGATGATGTTTATTCTAGCGTGTGAAGCCGTGTGAGCTGCAGATCAGAAAGACACGAGCGTCTGTGTCTGAATGAAAACGCTTTTCTTATTTGCACATTTTGGTTGTTTTTTCAAACTCATTAGCGGAAATACGCAGCACTCTGGGACATGCTGAGTGTGTGAGATATAAGTGTAACTCCTCCGGTTTATCATGCAAAATAAAATAAAAAAAATTCTACCTTATATAGTTTCAGTTCTACAAGCATTTGAACACAGATATGCAAATGGGAGCGCTGGAGCTCCCACCGGTTAAGTGCTCGCCCCGTAATCGGAAGGTTGCAGGTTAGAGCCCCACTAAGTTTGTCGCTGTCGTTGTGTCCTTGGGCAAGACACTTAACCTGCCTTGTCTGCTGGTGGTGGTCGGAGGGAACGGTGGCGCCAGTGTACAGCAGCCTCACCTCCCCAGGGCAGCTATGGCTACATCGTAGCTCATCACCACCAGGGTGTGAATGTGTGTGTGTGAATGGGTGATGAGTTCTAATAGTTCTACAGCCAAAACAAAACTTGTTCATGGAGTAAATTCTTTGCGCAAAATCCCTCACACTCGTTTCAGGACTCTGTTACTTGAAGAAAACAAGCAGAAGCTGGCCACGCCCCATCATTCCCCCCTCAGGCTACTATTAGCTGAGAAGCTCCGATATCTGGGAGGAGCTCGGAGTAGAGCAGCTGCTCCTCCAGCAGCAGTTCTCTCTTGCACTTGAGAGGTGGTTCTGTGCAAATTTACAGTGCAACATAAAGTTCCAAACTCTATGAGACTGATCTCAATAGCCTTGCCTCTGTCAGTGAGCCCCGGGGCAGCTGTGGCTACAACGTAGCTCATCACCACCAGGGTGTGAATGTGTGTGTGTGAATGGGTGATGAGTTCTAATAGTTCTACAGCCAAAACAAAACTTGTTCATGGAGTAAATTCTTTGCGCAAAATCCCTCACACTCGTTTCAGGACTCTGTTACTTGAAGAAAACAAGCAGAAGCTGGCCACGCCCCATCATTCCCCCCTCAGGCTACTATTAGCTGAGAAGCTCCGATATCTGGGAGGAGCTCGGAGTAGAGCAGCTGCTCCTCCAGCAGCAGTTCTCTCTTGCACTTGAGAGGTGGTTCTGTGCAAATTTACAGTGCAACATAAAGTTCCAAACTCTATGAGACTGATCTCAATAGCCTTGCCTCTGTCAGTGAGCCCCGGGGCAGCTGTGGCTACAACGTAGCTCATCACCACCAGTGTGTGAATGGATGAATGATACACAGTGGTGTAAAGCGCTTTGGAGTCCTCTTACTCTGAAAGGCGCTATACTAGTGCGGGTCATTTATCATTTGCACATCAATCCTAAAACCAAATACTGACACAAATTACATGCATGCTTTTAATTTTAATTTAATTTTTTCCGTTTGTAGTGTTTATAAAGGCAGTAGAGACCCACATAAAATGTGTTTTGCTTAATTTGTTCCCTTTTAAATATTGTTTTAGTCTAGAGTGTGCTTTTAAAAAAATTTAAATACCACATTTGAGCTCCTAAAACACGTCATTTCTGTTGTGACAATGTAGAAACTTTTGCAAATGAACATAATAGTGAGAGTGGGGATAGGGCCCTAATCCTCTTCAGTCATTAACTTTAATTCAAACTGAGGTCATCTGTTTGTCAGACTATAAATTCCAGCCACTCTGCTGTCCCTGGTTCTGACACTTTGACCTTTTTAAAAAGTGTTGGACCTAAAATTAATGCAGGGACACATTCAAATGAAAAGAATGAAGCAAAGGGTATAAAATTGGAGAGCACAGGAAGAGAGGATGTTTTGAAGCCGTTTGAAGCTGTGAAATTGCTCTTTCATGTTGTAGCGTGCGCAGCGCCAAATCCTGGGACAAGCCCACACAAAACAGACCAAAAAAGAATCTGTCATCACGGGTCATCGTTGGATTCTTGCGTTTCCTGAGCCATTGAGTGCGACTGCCGCAAACAGCCTACTCGCCCCCTAAATACGGCCACAGTGATTCACGTGAGCTAATTACACCTTGTACCGAGCGTCTCCGTACCTCAGGGATGAGCCGTCTTCCGTCATCTGACTTTCACATCCTTTCTCACAATCTCGTCCCCTCGCTTACACACACTCTTTTTTTCATCTAGCCGGGTCTGATGCTCTTCCCTAATCCAATTTCAAAATCCATTCCCTCCCCCTTACACAGACATCTCTCTGTCACCCCATTTCCTCCCCCTCCCCACTACGGGTCCCATGCAACTGGAAGTTCTCGTCGCTATTGGAGCAGACCTGTTGGCAGTATTTATGTGAGAAATGGGAAGGGCGATGGGAGGATGAAGGGACAGAAAGGGGGAAGAGGAAAAGAGAACAAGCATCGACAAAGTCACAACAGCTGTTTATGAGACAGAGGGTGCAGCTTATACAAGATTGGTAAGGAATGAAATAAATAATCCACTGGCCCAGATTCCAATTGTTGGGGAGATGTACCGAGCCGTGACATTTCCATTTTTGAGATGAAATGGTGTAAAATCCTCTAGACGGCAGGCTGGGAAAGGTCCACAAGGACCCCCCTCTCCAATCCCGTCTCTGCTTCTCTTTTTCTCTTGCCCTGCAGACGCAGAGCACTTTCAAGACGGGCAGACAGCAGCAACCCACCTGGGAGCAGCCTCGCTCCTGCAGACTGAGTGGATCCCAGTCAAACTCTGACAGCCTCACGTGGAAGCAAGGAGACAGACCCTGAAATGTTCTGCCACCTGTCACTCAAACTGACAACATGACGTGGAAAGAGTTAAAAGCAAATAAAAAAATGATGCAGCGCGAGGTACAAGTGCAATTTTCCTGAGCGTGCGTGAGTCTTTCCTTTGGCTTTGCTTCGTCTCTCTCGAGCTTTCAAAATCTCTGAAATGACCTCGGTGTAGGAGTTGAACGTAATGTTAAGGCTGCTTGTGCCAAAGCTTTTATGCAGAGCGGATCTTCCTTAAATTACAGTGATGCACACAATGTTATTGTTCAGCTTTATTGTGAAGGAAATGTCGTACGCTCATCAAAGTGCATCAGTATCACAGGAGATGATTGTTGTTTGAGAAAAAAAAAGTTTTTTTTTTATTTGGAAACTTTAAGGTTTTTTCTGCAAAAATTCCCAAAGACTGTCCATCAATCAACAGTCTAAGATATTTTCTTTGTTGGAGATTTAAAGTTGATTTGATTGTCTTTTAACTACATCTCTTCTTTTAGATAACAAAACAGGCCTACTCTTCCGAAGAAATCATTTTGCTTTGGTTTCTCTCATCTTTTATATGCATTGTAGCACATCTGAGCAAACTGGGCTCTTTTATCTATTTATTTAATTATTTGTAAAACGTTCTTCTCACTGATGCATCAAATCTTATCTCACTGTTACGATCAAAAACTTTCTCCGTTGTCC